TCCTAGATGTAGTTGTTCTTTGGTAAAAGTGGTATATATAATCCTTGCTTAGAGAAGAGTAGGAGATAGGTATTTTATCCGGATACTGGTAGAAGAAGATCTTGAAGGTCGGGTGATCCTGACAAGGCATACAACAGCCAACTTACGAACCGAGGGGGGTTTTTACAATGGTACGAAATCTTTAGCAAGTTAAGAATCCCAAGGAAGGTGAACAGTTGTTATAGCAGGTCGTATTGGGTTTAACCTGGTGAGTCTTTATTAAATTAGAACAATAAGCTATAAGAATTTTAATACATGAGTATATATGAATCATATAGTAGTTCACATTAATAAAGGCAGGATCACTTAAAAAAAAAAAAAAAAAAAAAAATACATAAAATTTCTTTAATCTAACAAAAAACGAATTAGTTTTTTGTTAGAAAAAAAAATAGATATCAAAATTTTCAATAAAATTATTCTCTAATAAAAAAATAAGTCTAATTTTGTTTGTTGTGAATTCTTTTTCACTAGATAAGCAAGCTCTTTTCGTATCTGCTTGAGTTCTAAGAAAACTTTAATATCAATCTCAAGACTTGACCTTGGTTGTTCAATATAGCCTAATACTAAATCCAATTCTGTAACGGCTTAAATTGCTGTAACAGGTTTAATTTGCCACTCTGGTTCTTCTTCAGACTCATTTTCTTGTATCTCTGCTATAATATCTTTGACCGTAAATATTTTACCTGTTGTATAATTATTCTTAATTTCAATAAATTTATGTATAGTAATATTTAAGTATTCAAGATTTTCAGGATTTTTTGAATTTTGAAATCGTGTAATGAGATTTTCTAACTCTATTTCTTCTTCATTAGTTAAATCAACAAGAGATTCTGAATCTATAAATTTGTCAATTTCTGTAAAAAAAAGAATATCTGTTTTTTGCCAAGAATGAATAATTACATCTTCAGAAACTTTATTCCATGCTTGTGAAACAAATTGAATTGTATCATAAATCATAACAGGATCTGGAGATTGATTAGTAAGGTTCGATTCATCAAATGTAGCAATTCAGTTTTGTAGTAATAACTTACAATATTGACACTATAAGTGTCTCATTTACAGATTTGTATAGTGTTACTGTAATTATATGAGAATATTAATAATATAAGGAATATGTACTAACCTTAATTGATAATCCGCCAGTCAACAGAAGAATAAACATAGTGTAACGTGATGCAAATTACTATATAAATCCAATATAGTGTGAATCTAAAAAATTTCTACTGTTCATCCAAAGAAAACATTTTTTCGTACTAAGTTAATCG